TGCAGATTGAGTAGAAAGTGGAAAACTGCAATCTGATTTGAAACCTATGATAGACAAGAAATAGAAAAGAAGTTTTGTAGAGAAGAGAAGAAGAGAGAAATTGGAAAGAATGGGAGAGACAAAAATCAGATCTGGCTGCCCCTTTCGTTATCTTATATACTCACAAATAAATCTAATTACACTGTCAAGTATACCCTTAGTAAGTTGGTTACTGCTAATCAATATAAAAAACACTCTTAATAAAACATAAACTAATGGGCTTTGGGCCCAGTAACTCTAACTGGACTTTATAAACAAAAACTCAAGGATTATTAGCCGAATCTCAACACTCCTCCTCAAGTTGGGAATAGATGTCACACATTCCTAACTTGCATAGATCATGCTCAAGATTATTTCTTGCAACCCCTTTTGTGAGAACATCAGCTAGCTATAAGTCAAATGCAATATATGGTAGGCACACTTCTCCAGATGTCACCCTTTCTCTTATGAAATGTCTATCCACTTCTATATGCTTCGTCCTATCATGTTGAACACTTGATTATCACAGTATAGCATCATAGGTTTTTTGCCTCAACTTGAATCCCTCATAACATGGGGTGGACCTAGAGGAGCTTTGAAACACCATGTGCCATAGCTCTGTATTCAGCTTCTGCACTTGACCTTGCTACAACTGATTGTTAATTACTCTTCCATGAAACTAGATTACCTCCAATAAGAGTGCAAACTCCTGATGTAGATCTCCTGTCATCTAGGAACCCTGCCCAAACAACACATGTGTAACTTCTAATTTCAATTGTTCATGGTCAACAAACAATATGCCTCTACCTGGGTGTCCCTTCAAATAGGCAAATATCCTGTCAATAGCCTCCTAGTGCTGAACTTGTGGGGCATGCATGTACTGACTTACCACACTAACTGCATAAGAGATACCTAGTCCTGTCATGCATAAGTGTAGCAACCGACCCACCAATTTCTAATACCTTCCAACATCCTTCACTAACTCACCATCTAAAGCATTAATTCTATGGTTCTGAACAATAAGTGTATTAATTGGCCTTGCCCTAAGTTTTCCTGTCTCCTGTAGTAGGGCCAAAGCATACTTCCTCTAAGCAATGAAAATCCCATGCTTGGACCTTGCCACCTCAATGCCCAGAAAATACTTCAACCCCCCAAGCTCCTTAATCTCAAACTCCTAGTGTAGATTCCTCTTCAAGTTGTCAATCTCACTCAACTCATTTCCTATGACTACAATGTCATCTACATATACTGTCAACACTAACATCAATGATCCCCTTCTCTTCACAAACAGGGTATGATCAGATTGGGTTTGAGTATAGCCAAATACAATCATTTTTTTTTTGATAATTTAGCCAAATACAATCAATGCACTCCCTAAATCTATCAAACCAAGCTTTGGGTGATTTTTTCAAACCATATAAAGACTTTTTTTAATCTACATACCTTTCCTTTGACCACATCACTATAAAAGCTAGCTAGAAGGTCCATGTACACCTCCTCCGGCAAGCCTCCGTTAAGAAAAACATTCTTCATAGCAAGTTAGAAGAGGGGCCAAGAGTAGGTAGCTGTTTGAGATAAGAGGATCTAGGCTGAACTCATCTTGGCCACCGGTGCAAAGGTCTCTAGGTAGTCCATCTCATAGGTCTGAGTGTACCTTTATGCAACCAGCCTCGCCTTGTACCTCTCTATACTTCCATCAGCCCGGTACTTCATTGTATAAATCCATCTACAGCCTAATGTCTCATTGCCATCAGGTAAATCCACAATCTCACATGTAGGATTTTTAATCAATGCTTCCATTTTCTCTCTATCTTCAACTCAGGTTTGAGAGGGCCTCACTAACACTCCTGGGTATAGACACAGAGTCAAGGGAGGAAAGGAAGGCTTGATAAGAGGGAGATAAATCCCTTGTAGGAAAGGCGATGTGAAATGTAATGGGTTGTAGACTTATTCTTCCCCTTCCAGAGTGCAATAGGGAGGTCTAGGTCATCTACAATGGTGTTAGGAACAGGGGTGGTAGTATCAATAGGAACTAAAACATCAAATTGAGCAAAAGGCATACCTGGGTCTATGTCAACCGGAATCTCTGATCAGCCAATAGGGAGTGGTGTGGGTTCCTCTACTGTGGAATCAACCTCCTTGTGCTATCATAGGCGTTGTCATGTAAAAAACTGAGAAGTAGGACGTAGCGGAGCCAACATAGGAGCTAGAGCAGGTGGGTTAGACACTCGAGTTACGAAGGAGCTGGAACGGAACGTGGTGTAGATTGCTCATTTCCTTCTGCAAAACACTTCCTTTGAGAAAGACTTCTTGAGAGAATGGGTGTGAACCCAAAGAAAGTGACATCCATAATGACATACCAAATCCTTGAGACCGGATCATTACAAAAGTACCTCTTTTGATTTCCTACATACCCAAGGAAAACACACTTCTTCGCCTTAGGGTTCAACTTTGAGTAGTGAGGACCCAGAATATGGACAAAGCGTACACATCCAAATACCCTCAAAGGAATATGGAACATCTCCCCCTCATGAAAAAGAAGGTTGAACAGAGTAGCGTATCCAAGAACATGAGAGGGTACCCGATTAATCAAGAAGATTGTTGTAAGGACTGCATCACCCCAAAACCAAATTGGAACTAAAGTGCTCACCATCATACTTTTTGCTACTTTCACAATGCCAGGTTTTTCTCAAAGTATTCCCGAGCATTATCTGATCTGAACACCTTCACTCATACTCCAAGCTGTGGTAACACCATCTCATGGAATTGTTGTACCAAAGAAGGTACCTCATCACGGGATCTCATCAAGTATATCCAAGAGTACCAAGAATAATCATTGACAAACAGGAGAAAATAACAGTAGCCACCCATAGAAGGAATATGATATGGTCTCCACACGTTAGTATGAACAATGTCAAAAATCGAAGATCTTTTTATTGCTTGCTTTAAAAGAATGTCTACAATATTTTCTAAGTTGACAACCTTCACACTCTAAATTGGAGAACTTAACAGACTCAAACAACTTTGGAAACAAAAAACACAAAGAAGTAAAAGACAAGTGCCTTTACCGATTATGCCCAAGCATAACCTGACCCACTGACTCTGACTCATTATCCCAATTGACATGATGACTTTGATGACTGGGAAGCACATCAAGAAAATAGATTCCATTCACCTCACAACCACACCCAATCTCCTCTTTGATTCCAGATCCTGCAAAACACAATGATCAAGAGAAAAAATTATTGAACAATTCAAATTCCGTGTCAAACTACTAATAAATAAAAGGTTAGTACTCAATCTAGGAACATGGAATACAGAAGGCAGGGTAATGGTGTTGGTTACCTTGACAGACCCCTTCCTAGCAATCGGAGCATGGGATCCATTAGTTGTGGAAACTCTATCTCTATCAGAGCAAAGGTGGTACGAGGAGAAAATGGTGGAAATATTGATCATATGTTCTGAGGCTCTTTAGTCTATAATCCAAGGAGGTCCCCCCTTACCTATGGTGGAGGCATAGTTTGTAGTGGTATGTGAACTACCTATATGTGCAAACTAGGGCTGGCCATGAGCTGAGGATGAGGGACAAAATCATTATTTCGAGCCGGCCCACGAGCTAAGCTTTTCATGAGCTATCCAAGAACCCTCTATTTGCTAATGTTCATTCACTCATCCAAATAAAGTATCTTCTTAAAAGGCAATTAAAGTTATAAAATCATTATTTTTTATGTGAGAATTAAGAATTTAAGACCCTAACATGGACTTATTTGGTCTTGCCTTGAGGGGCGTGGTACAAAGGCGACTCGTAGAATCAGGAGTGCATTATGTTTTACGTGACATTAGCTATTTGAAGTAATGCAATTGAGGAAAAAAAGAGATTGTGGGTTTTACATGCTTGAAAATGCTTTATATGTTTGATTTTATTTTTAAATTTTCATTTGAATACGTTTTACATGTTATGTTTATGTATTCTAATTTTAGATAATAGGTTTTCTAAAACATTTATTTTAAAATTTAAGTTTATATTTTTTAGGGTAAATTACAGATAGGTACCTTGTAAGGTACCCTGAACTTTCAATTGCAATACTTGAGTACCATGAACTCTCAAAAGTAGACACTTAGGTCCATCCATTAGTTAAACATTACATAATGCCAAAAATACCCTCGTGTATTTCTGAGATCATTCTCAACTAATCGAATGTCTCCCCATGATGATGTTCTCACATGGACAGCAAATAACATATTCAAAATTTCTAATGATGGCATTCTATAGAATGATCTAAAAAATACACAAGAAGGGTATTTTTTGACATTTTAACTAATGGAATACTAACAAATGGACCCAAGTGTCTATTTTTGAAAGTTCAGGGAACCTATCTGTCACTACCCCCAATGTACAGTGTACCTATCTGTAATTTACCCTATTTTTTATTAGTATTATGTTTAATATTTATATTTTTTTTGCATTTTGTTTTAACTTTTTTGGCAATTTTTTGACATTTTTTTATTTTTAGCATTTTTTTTTAATTTTTGCACCTTGCTTTAAAAAGGTGTGTGCCTCGCCTTGCACCTTGCGTCTGTGGCGCAAATTGCCCCTGCATTTTTAAAACACTAGGAATAATGCAACTGATGGCTTTCTACAGAGTACAGACATTAGAGGTTCACTTCCTGGGGTTAAGATTCATCCATAAGATGTCCTTTGGTTCTTTCTGAACCCAAATGCTGGTCTAGCATTATTGGCCCAATAGATGATCATTCTCAGCAAATGTGAATAAACTCAGCAGAAAAAATATAAAACTCGACTATTGATTCATGAAAACAGACTACAAAACTTTACTTGATGAAATCCTCTTAATCTCTTCCCTCTCCCAGTCAGAAATGAGAATACATTAAATTAAAATTTCTTCTTAAAAAAATTCTCTTAATTTTTATCATTGACTTTATTAATAATTAACATTTCCTGTTACTAATGAAATTTTCAGGAAAAGGAGATTGGATGAGATTTGTCTTGAAAGGTTTCAGCAATACAGCCGAACCTTCATACAATCATGGATCTTGCAAGGTAAGTGACACTTTTGAGTTGGAAGTCAAGTTAATTGCCCTGTGAATATTGAGGAGCATGCTAAGCTAAATGGTATTTTTTTAATCAAGAACCAAAGAAGCTTGTTAATGAAAAATGGAATACAAGAAAAAATGAAGATGCCTAAGAGAGAAGGATTTCAGGTGCAGGTATCAGGTGTGGATGCTTGAGAAAGTAAACATGAGAAACAAAATACAACCCAAGCTGCTCTGGGACTGTGTAATGCTTTCCAAATTTAGATGAAATAGTGTCAATTTAAAACTTTCGTTTTCCTGGTGAATTTGGTTTAGATATCACTATGGGTGATCATGGGCCCAGCCGGGCTTTGGGCCTATGTCTCTATACGCATGATACTTAATATATATAGTATTTTTATATCATATGAAAAATCTTATGACAATGTTAAATTATCTATAAAAATAAATGAGCAGTCAGCAGTTTTTTTTTTTCAAAAGTTCAAAGGGAATTTGGCAGGGATAACCTCTCTCCCCATTATTATTTATTTGTGTGTGTGGAGGTCTTGGCCCAATTTATTAAGAGAGTGGCTAGTGGGGGCAGTTTGGATGGTTTTACTATTGCTCCTTCAGCGGGCAAGGTCCAGGTTCTTCATTTTGCTGATGATGCCATTTTCTTTTTGGGGTCAGATCACTCTCTGATCCTTCTGCTGTGGGGTGTTCTAATGTGGTTTGAGGTGGTCACCAGATTAAAGGTGAATCTAGCGAAAAGTTCTTTAGTCCCTGTTGGCCAGGTGGAGGATGTGGATGGCCTAGCTGAAGTTGTTGCTTGTTGGGTGGACTTTCTTCCCATAAAATATCTCAGCCTCCCTTTTGGGGCCAAATGTTCTGCCTCTTCCATTTCGAATCAGGTGCTTGAAAGGATGGAGAAAAGGCTATCTTCCTGGAAAGTTATATCTAACTGCAGAAGGAAGAAAGTTACCTTGATAAAGAGCACTTTAAGTAGTCTTCCAACCTACTTTTTGTCCCTCATCCTCATCCCTGCAAAAGTGGCAAAAAGAATTGAAAAGATGCAGAGAGACTTCCTTTGGAGGGGTTGGCAGGGCGACAAAGATTCATGTTGTGAGCTGGGATCTTGGCATAAAAAATATTAGAAACTTCAACGTGGCTCTTCTCTGTAGTCTGTAAATGGTTATGGAGGTTTGGTGTAGAGAGAGAAAGATAGAGAGGTGGTGGGGGAGGTTAATTGTTGCTAAATTTGAGGCATCTAATGGTGATTGGAGGTCTTATGTTCCCCTTCCCTCCTATGGTAGCTGTGTGGAAAGACATCATGCAAATTATAATGTTTTTCTGCAAAGTACTTCATACAAAGTTGGTGATAGTGGAAGATTGAATTTGGAAAGATGATGCATGGTGTACAAGTGAACCCCTGTTCCATCACATTTACCAGATTGCAACTGACAAAGATGCCCCTGGTTGCTAATTCATATGAGTGGCAGGATGAGGTGGTGGTGTGGTCCCCTAGCCTAAGGAGAAATCCTCAAGATTGGGTGTCAGGTGTTGTTTTGGAGTTTCTTCAAGTGATCAGCAATTTAAGCATCAGAAGGGGGAGGGACGGTGAGTGGGTCTAGAAGTGGGAAAAGAATGGGAATTGGAAGAGACAGAAGTGGAGTTTACAAAAGTAGACAAGTCTAGATAAGTACAATTCCCTCAAAGATTTGCTTCCTACTCTGGGCTGTATCTCTTGGAAGGATCTAGCAAAAGACAGTCTGATTAGAAGAGGGGTTTGAATTCAAGACCCTGCCTGCCCTCTGTGTAATCATTTTATGAGTGCATAGATCATCTGTTCATCCACTGCCCAAAGGTGTATAAGATCTGGCTTCATTTCATAAAAGCTGCAAACCTTTCCTGTGTTTGTCCAAAAAGTCAGAGAGTGCTTACTGGTTGGTTCCCACAGGGTTTAAGTGCAGATGGCAGATTATTTTGGAGCCTAATCCCTGCAGCTCTGGTGTGGTTTGGAGAGTTTGGTTGGAGAAAAATAAAAGAGTTTTGAAGGGGCTTTATTTGCAGATTGAGGAGTTGATGAATTCTGCAGTGGGGATGTTGAGTTCTTGAATTGTGGCTGTCAGGGACCCTTCCCATCAGCCTAGTTGTAATGTTTTGCATTCCATATCTTTGTGGTGTATGTGATTGTTAGTGGTCCTGGGGATGTGGGGTCAGATGTTTGAACTCCCCCCCCCCCCTCTTTCTGTATTTGGCTATATATATATCTATCTGCGCTAGAAATGACCACCCCTAGATATTGTATATTTGTTTCTGTGTGGGGTTTATTCTGGGTGAATTTAAGGTAAAATATAGGGTTTATGTCATTGTTTTGTAATATCTTATTTCTCAAATACTTGTAGGAGTCTATGATATCCAGATACCTATGCATGCCTACTGCCTAGTGTACCATTGTTGAATATGATAGCAGATATTGCATGGATACTTCTAGATGTACTTTATAGCATTAACACTTCTAAAATATATAAAATGTTGTGTTTTAACAAATTATACTATAAAATAATATGGACCTGTATAAGTACATGGAAATTACATTGGATACCCTTACCAGTATGCATGTCATGGATTTTAGGAAATGGAGAGTTGTATCCCTATTTTCTTTTTCCATGTTAGTATCCATATCCCTATCCAGACATCATACATCGGAGTACCTCTGCCCACCATTCTGATAATGATAATGTCACATGACTTCTTTAGCTGTCTAGTGTATTAATGTTACAAAGTTTGATGGACATATCAAAGTTTTTGGCTGTCTAGTGTATTTCTTAGTTTCCTAAAATAATGATTTTAGGATGATCAAATTTAGATTCACCATCTCTCATGTCATAAAAGTGCCACATTTGATGCTTGGTGCTTTTTGCCAGATAAAAAGTTAAAAACCACAAAAAATTCTTTGTTTTTATTGTTGAGGTATAAGGGTATAATTGGATTGAGTAAATGAGGGGGAAATACATAAGTACTTCTACGAGGCATATAAATCATATGTAATTTTATGTATTTGAGAGGGGTTTTAGGTCTTGTTGCCTCCTTTTCTTAACCCAACAAAATATTACTAGTTGGTCACAATCAACCAATCCATTCTCATCTCTTTCTCTCTCTCTCTCTCTCTCTCTTTCCATAAGTCATAACACACTCAAGCACCACAGAATAATCAACAATAATTCAACTTGGTATTAGAACTTCATGCTTGAAACCTGAGGAAGTTTCTTCTCCACTTGTGACCTTTTGGCGTCATTAGCCATGTGGATGACATCATTGGACATTTTAGACACCAACTTTTCTTACAAGTTTCATATTCATTGGATGAAGGCCAACATTTTTCTGATTTTTTTTTAATGAAATTTGTAGAAATCAGTTTTGCCATTGATGGGCCATAGCTTCTTCTTAAGACTGAATGAGTGTATGAGGCATGGTATTTGATCTCTGACATATTTTGTGATCAAAGGAACCTTATTTGATTTGATTTGGAGCAGTGTTGATTTTTGGGAAAATTTTCTCTTCCTATTTTACTGCCAAGCTTGTTTCCCCCCCTTCTTAGACTGTTTTATCTTAGAGGCAGTCAGCTGCCTGCTACTAGTTATGACAGTAGAGAGACTTGGGTGGGAAAGGTTGTTTGATTTTGCTTCTATATTCTGTATTGCATTTTCCTAATTTGCCTACTAATTTGTGATCTTGGAAACAGCCTCTCTGTATCTGCAGGGGTAAGGTTGCATATATCTGTCCCTCCCTAGACCCCGCATTGGCAGGAGCCTCATGCACTGGGCTGCCCTAGTAGGATTAAGAAAGTTATTGAATTCTAGCTTCACTTTTTTCCTCATTATTGTATTCTTCAAGGCTTTGGTTCAAAGAAAGAATTTAAGAGTGGTAGTGAGACTGTTAGCTTCTATGATCTATCTCATAGATTGTGGAACACTGCAACTACCTCTACATCTTACCTGTCTAAAGGATATAGTAGTACTACTAGTAATTAAAGACAAAACAATGCATTGGCATTGGAGACTTGGTCGTCATTCTTTTTCTCATCTGAAACYGGGGCTTCCTTTGTGTGTTTGATTCTTGTCTCTTGGAAGTTGGAACATTATTRTATAGTCTATGACTTCAAGAAAACATTGTTGAGTTTCATATCCTTTGAATAATATGAAAGTTCTATTCCATTTGCAATTGTTCACTCTGATTTGTGGAGTCTTATCTTTACTATTTCAATGTTTGGACACCATTGTTTTGTTACTTTTGTTCTTTTTATTTAATAGTTGAATGATATTTTCATTAATGATGAGGAAGAAAGAGTATAATCAGCCTAAGAAGTGGCTCAAGATGCTACCTCCCCTTTAAGAATGATTACAGTTTTGTTACTTTTCTTGATGATTATACTTAGTGTACTTGGATTTATTTAATGAAATCTAGGAATTACTTGTTCAAAATTTCCACACAATGGTGGGTGCACAATTTGAAAGACCTATGAAGTTTCTTTGTTTTGACAATGAGGGAGAGTACATGTACTCAAAGCTTCGAATTTTTTTTTTCTAAGCATGAAATAGAACACCAAACAAAACTTGGGTTGGAACTCCTTGAAAGAATGGAGTAGTTGAGAGGAAGAACTGTCATCTCTTGGGGAAATCAAGAATCAATTTGATCCTAACCCTGAGCCTTGGGGTCTATGAATTGAAGCCACCAAGGGCTTGACTAGTCAATATAGGCATGACTTGCACTAGGCATGTAGGAGTACAGCAAACACTTTACCAGTTAGCCAGTTGGAGAAGAGATGACCTGACCACATATTTTTTTGATCGGTAACTATTAGAAATTTATTGCTTGAAAAAAGGGTTATAATTACAAATCTATACTATATATAAAAGTGCAGATGCAGAGTGAAAGTTTTTTTGAACTAAAATTGCCCTCTATTTTTTTTGTTTGAGAAAGGGTATAAAAGTCATTTTATTACAACTTCAATGTCAGCTTTATTGGCTACAAAAATGCCCATATTTGTGTATTTAGTCTATCTTTAATTGTAAGTGTTGAAAATGTAATTTCAATTATTACTTTCTACATCATTTAATCCCTACTCATTAAGTCTTATATTTAAGGTATTAACTTCTTATTAAATCCTATATTTAAGTTATTTTTCACCAATAAATGTTACTAATTTTTTAATTTTAACAATATAAATCCATATATTTTAAAACTGACCCAAAAACAAAACCATTATTTATCCAAGTGGTGGGTAAGAAATTCAACTATTTGAATAAAATTGATCAACCTATGAAGTCATAGTTAGATAATAAAATTTTAAAGTAGAAATAAATATAGAAATTTACAAAAATGTAGAAAAAATTAAACACTTTTATGATATTTTTGTCAATCAAATTAAAAAAAAATAATTGTAATAAACAAGAATTATTTTTATTGATAATGAAAATGAAATACATAATTTAGAATTGATAAAAAATGAAATTATTTCACCGTTTGGCAAAGATCAATAGTTCAACTTTTGGGTCAAATGTGTTAACCTTTAATATCATAAATAAATAGTAAAATTAATAAAATATAAAAATACAAAAATGAAAAAAAAAACATAAATTTTGCAAAAAACATTCAAGCACATGTATAGTATCATATATTTGTCATATTTAAACAAAAAGTAAGTGTGACATATCAGAATTATTTTTTACACACAGAAATATAAAAAAAAACATTATAGAAAAAATTGAACACATCTATAATTCTATATTTGCACTACTATTAAAAATAGGAATAAGATTGTGGAACTTTCTTTGGACTAAAATACTCGTTTTTGAATTAATCCCTGCTTAATTGTGAGGTTTAAACTGTAAATTGAACTACTATTTTTAGCCTCATTCAATTCAGTCTATTTAAATCTTACATTTTTTGATAAATGAACAAAAAAAGATTCACCAAAAAGATAAAACATTACAAAAAGAAGAATCTAGCCAAGCAGGTAGGCCTATCAATGATATTGAAACTTCACAACTTGATATGATTATCACATATTTGGCTAAGATGTATATGTAATCAGATTTAGATTTTGCAATTTGCATCTGATTAATAATAAACAAATAAAATAAAATAAAAAATACATAAAGTTTATAGAAAATTTTGGATACATTATTACTATCATTATCATCATCTAGGTTTGCCTTACTAGTGAAGTAAGGTAGCTAGTCTCAGCTATCCACCTTAGAGATTCCTCAGATACAAATCTCCTTTTAGGGTACCAGACCCCAATACAATTGATCTCTTTGAACCCCTTGTTTTTCCAAGCCATCAGCTAGGTTGTTTGCTGATCTAAACCC